ATATATATATATATATATATATATATATATATATATATATATATATATATATATATATATATATATATATATATATATATATATATATATATATATATATATATATATATATATATATATATATATATATATATATATATATATATATATATATATATATATATATATATATATATATATATATATATATATATATATATATATATATATATATATATATATATATATATATATATATATATATATATATATATATATATATATATATATATATATATATATATATATATATATATATATATATATATATATATATATATATATATATATATATATATATATATATATATATATATATATATATATATATATATATATATATATATATATATATATATATATATATATATATATATATATATATATATATATATATATATATATATATATATATATATATATATATATATATATATATATATATATATATATATATATATATATATATATATATATATATATATATATATATATATATATATATATATATATATATATATATATATATATATATATATATATATATATATATATATATATATATATATATATATATATATATATATATATATATATATATATATATATATATATATATATATATATATATATATATATATATATATATATATATATATATATATATATATATATATATATATATATATATATATATATATATATATATATATATATATATATATATATATATATATATATATATATATATATATATATATATATATATATATATATATATATATATATATATATATATATATATATATATATATATATATATATATATATATATATATATATATATATATATATATATATATATATATATATATATATATATATATATATATATATATATATATATATATATATATATATATATATATATATATATATATATATATATATATATATATATATATATATATATATATATATATATATATATATATATATATATATATATATATATATATATATATATATATATATATATATATATATATATATATATATATATATATATATATATATATATATATATATATATATATATATATATATATATATATATATATATATATATATATATATATATATATATATATATATATATATATATATATATATATATATATATATATATATATATATATATATATATATATATATATATATATATATATATATATATATATATATATATATATATATATATATATATATATATATATATATATATATATATATATATATATATATATATATATATATATATATATATATATATATATATATATATATATATATATATATATATATATATATATATATATATATATATATATATATATATATATATATATATATATATATATATATATATATATATATATATATATATATATATATATATATATATATATATATATATATATATATATATATATATATATATATATATATATATATATATATATATATATATATATATATATATATATATATATATATATATATATATATATATATATATATATATATATATATATATATATATATATATATATATATATATATATATATATATATATATATATATATATATATATATATATATATATATATATATATATATATATATATATATATATATATATATATATATATATATATATATATATATATATATATATATATATATATATATATATATATATATATATATATATATATATATATATATATATATATATATATATATATATATATATATATATATATATATATATATATATATATATATATATATATATATATATATATATATATATATATATATATATATATATATATATATATATATATATATATATATATATATATATATATATATATATATATATATATATATATATATATATATATATATATATATATATATATATATATATATATATATATATATATATATATATATATATATATATATATATATATATATATATATATATATATATATATATATATATATATATATATATATATATATATATATATATATATATATATATATATATATATATATATATATATATATATATATATATATATATATATATATATATATATATATATATATATATATATATATATATATATATATATATATATATATATATATATATATATATATATATATATATATATATATATATATATATATATATATATATATATATATATATATATATATATATATATATATATATATATATATATATATATATATATATATATATATATATATATATATATATATATATATATATATATATATATATATATATATATATATATATATATATATATATATATATATATATATATATATATATATATATATATATATATATATATATATATATATATATATATATATATATATATATATATATATATATATATATATATATATATATATATATATATATATATATATATATATATATATATATATATATATATATATATATATATATATATATATATATATATATATATATATATATATATATATATATATATATATATATATATATATATATATATATATATATATATATATATATATATATATATATATATATATATATATATATATATATATATATATATATATATATATATATATATATATATATATATATATATATATATATATATATATATATATATATATATATATATATATATATATATATATATATATATATATATATATATATATATATATATATATATATATATATATATATATATATATATATATATATATATATATATATATATATATATATATATATATATATATATATATATATATATATATATATATATATATATATATATATATATATATATATATATATATATATATATATATATATATATATATATATATATATATATATATATATATATATATATATATATATATATATATATATATATATATATATATATATATATATATATATATATATATATATATATATATATATATATATATATATATATATATATATATATATATATATATATATATATATATATATATATATATATATATATATATATATATATATATATATATATATATATATATATATATATATATATATATATATATATATATATATATATATATATATATATATATATATATATATATATATATATATATATATATATATATATATATATATATATATATATATATATATATATATATATATATATATATATATATATATATATATATATATATATATATATATATATATATATATATATATATATATATATATATATATATATATATATATATATATATATATATATATATATATATATATATATATATATATATATATATATATATATATATATATATATATATATATATATATATATATATATATATATATATATATATATATATATATATATATATATATATATATATATATATATATATATATATATATATATATATATATATATATATATATATATATATATATATATATATATATATATATATATATATATATATATATATATATATATATATATATATATATATATATATATATATATATATATATATATATATATATATATATATATATATATATATATATATATATATATATATATATATATATATATATATATATATATATATATATATATATATATATATATATATATATATATATATATATATATATATATATATATATATATATATATATATATATATATATATATATATATATATATATATATATATATATATATATATATATATATATATATATATATATATATATATATATATATATATATATATATATATATATATATATATATATATATATATATATATATATATATATATATATATATATATATATATATATATATATATATATATATATATATATATATATATATATATATATATATATATATATATATATATATATATATATATATATATATATATATATATATATATATATATATATATATATATATATATATATATATATATATATATATATATATATATATATATATATATATATATATATATATATATATATATATATATATATATATATATATATATATATATATATATATATATATATATATATATATATATATATATATATATATATATATATATATATATATATATATATATATATATATATATATATATATATATATATATATATATATATATATATATATATATATATATATATATATATATATATATATATATATATATATATATATATATATATATATATATATATATATATATATATATATATATATATATATATATATATATATATATATATATATATATATATATATATATATATATATATATATATATATATATATATATATATATATATATATATATATATATATATATATATATATATATATATATATATATATATATATATATATATATATATATATATATATATATATATATATATATATATATATATATATATATATATATATATATATATATATATATATATATATATATATATATATATATATATATATATATATATATATATATATATATATATATATATATATATATATATATATATATATATATATATATATATATATATATATATATATATATATATATATGTATATATATATATATATTTACATTTTATCAATAATGAAACTGAGATTAAGCAAGTTATACTCATAGCTACAAATGACAAAGCCAGAATTTGAATTCACATCTAATTCTACCACCCCACAATGTTTCCCATAGTCATAGAATTTTCTTTTACCTATTTTTCGAAACCAATGAGCTTCATTAGCTCTGGAATCCAATGTCGAGGATTCTCCATCAAAAGCCTGGGCTAGTGTCAGGAGTGCTGCAATAAACAGGAAAATGTAACACTGAGGTCTTTTACCTTTTTCTCTAGCAAAGCAGTTAATCCTCCTTTAAAAACAGTCACACATGAGTTTGGATTTAGAAAGTTCTTTTTTGTATATGTGTGTGTGGGTGCATATCAAAAGTAATTAAAATGACAAAAAGCATTACCAAGCTCCAAGAAGCTGTTAACTAAAATTTGGGGGAACAAACACGTCTTTGGAGAGATTTATAATTTTAATTAGTGCAATCATTCACCACCTGAGGTAAAAATATTTACATGTAGAGAAATAAAGAATAGGAATAATAATTAAAAATACTGATATGGTACTTAGTATATGCAGGCCCTGGGTCATAATATTAGTTTTCTTCATTTTCTATGGAAATGGGTCTAGGAATAAAAAGATGAATTATAACTTAAGATTCATAAAATTATGCTCCTTAGCTTGGGCTAGAATGCCTAATTTCTCTTTAATCCCCAGAAGCAAACAATAACAACCCCCCACAATAAAAAAAAAGAAAAACAAAAACCTGAAATGGAGATTGAGAATTGGAAGAATATTGAAAGGCTGGCATAATATATACTTAGCTCCCACAGCAAGCACAGTATAGAACCTGAACATACCATTGTCAACAGAAAGCACTTTTAACTTACCCATGCTCTTCTGAGAAATAAGAAAGCCAATCAGGAAAACCTTCCTCTTTTGAAAAGGTTTGGCTTCTGAACCATTATACAATGTTTACCATCCTGTTGACATGTATTTAAGGTATAAAACTGAACTACTGCAATATTAGGAATATTATTTCTAAACTTTTTCATGTGTCTTTGTACATTAAAAAAGAAATACATGGGCAGGAGACCTAAGAAAACCTGTTAAGCAAAAGGAAAACCACCTCAGAAAGCAGAGTTGGTAAAATGAAATATGATGTTGCTAGGAGATTAGCTTGAATGAAGTGATCAGGGAGGAATCAAGAGTAAAAGACATGGGGCTGGGGTTGTGGCTTAGTGGTAGAGCACTCGCCTCACATGTGCAAGGCCCTGGGTTCGATCCTCAGCACCACATAAAAATAAATAAATAAAAGTTATTGTGTTCAACTACCAAAAAAAAAAAAATTAAAAAAAAAAAGAGTAGAAGACATGACCCAGACTTGGGTAGATAGACAGTTTGAAAATAGGAGAGTAAATAATCTGAATTTGAGTCAAAGGGCACTGAAAGCCAGCAGAGTTCCAAGAATCCTTAAATGTCTTGATCCTTTGTTTACCTGTTTAATTCATAGGTTAGGATTAAAGTGGCCATTAAGAGAAAGGAAGGAAGCAGGAAAAGAAGGAAGTGAGGGGAAATGTCTTTACAAGATATTAGAATAAACACAAAGCTGAAATCACATTTGCAAATGAATGGTAGGGATGCCAAACTTTTCTCTGCTTGTAGATGAAGAAACCAAAATAGGCTCTTGTGGTGAACATTACTAAAGAGCAGGAGGCTTAACTCAAATACTAGGTTGAAGTCAGTGTGTTCAATGTGCTTAGAGAATTCAATAGAGGATAGAGGTAAGATGAAAGACTGAAAATAACCCAGGAGATATTTACCTGTATTCAAGCAAGCCAAAAGTCTACCCATTTCCTTCTTTCTAAAAAATAAAGAAAAAAGAGTTTTCAATTGTTCTTAACCTTTACTATAGAAAAGAACTAGAAACAGACACTATTTGTACCAGATAACTGGGCTAAAAAATACAAGTGTGCAGTTTGTTGTTCAAGGCTCTGGTCTATGATTTTGACACTCTTTTCCCCACTATAAGATGAGGTTATTTGGGGCTGGGGTCGTGGCTCAGTGGTAGAGCACTTGTCTAGCATGTGTGAGGCACTGGGTTTGATTCTCAGCACCGCATATAAATAAATGAATAAAATAAAGGTCCGTCAACATCTAAAAATAATTTAAAAAAATATGAGGTTATTCATCCTGAGTGCCCTCATACTTTTTCTCTCTTCTGTACTTACTCTCAGCAAAGGATTTCAATGTCTGAGAAGGGTTTTGTGTTATAATATTGCAGGGTCATATAATTTAGGAGCAAATAATGATGTTTGTGTTTTATAAGCTTTTTTAAAAATAATAACTTTATTTATTTATATTTTTATGTGATGCTGAGGATTGAACCCAGTGCCTCACATGTGCTAGGTAAGCGCTCTACCACTGAGCTACAACTCCCAGACCTAAGCTTTTTTTAAACATTACAGGAAGAGGAAATGGAAAATAACATTGA